TCGCTCTTATGCCACAGGTTTTTAGATAGTTCAGAGAGGAAAAAAAAACGCTCTCAAAATCTGACGAATTACTAGTGAAGGAATAGCTTGAAAAGAAACGAAACAATATTTCGATTGCTTGAGGAAACTTGGAGGTATTTTTAATTACTGCATTTGAACTCCTTTCTACTTTCTCCGGCAATTAAACAGGTTTTAATTTTTTTCACTTCCGTCTTCCTCAGTAGTGAGTCCTTAAATTTTGATAGCGTTTTTTAAATTTTTTTTTTCAGATTTAAGTATTAACTTGTGGTCCCTTATGTGTATTCTTCTTTGATTAATATTTTAAAAATATAGATTAAAGACTGTCATATTCTAGATACGATATGCTTACACTAAAAAAGTAGATTAAAATTTATTACTATGCATAAGACTCATTATCATATTTGTAATTCATCATAATATTGATTTTATTTTTATCCTATCATTGCTTAGTAATTTGAAAAATTTGAAATAAATTAACATGTTTTTGAAACCTTTTATTTCTTTCATTTAATCACCAAACGAGATAAAAATTATTACAACCAGATATTTCATAAGTATAGTTGTGTCTTGTAAAAAAAAAGCACATTAATTTGTTGAAGATTGTGTTATTTACCTGTTATAATTTGGTCAGCACAATTTCTTCATTCTGTACCCAATATTTAATGAGTATTATCCTATAAAACGTTATTTGAAGAATTTTATGCAATGGCTTTTAAGCACAAAACGGTTACTACAGGGTGTGGTGGGTGTGGGTGTTACAAAATTTAACGAACAAATTCATAGGAGAAATAAGGCATCAAAGGGATGAAAACTTATCATAGAACATGGGTTTGCAAACCACGTTGAGAGCTTTAAAATCGGGAAAACAAAGGAAGTGGATTGCTCGCGATGGAATTTGTCGGACAAATTTTGAAGCATCTTGACTAATTAGCTTTAAAACATGAGATACCATCTCCTGATTTCCTAAACGAAAATTGCTTTATGCATAAAGATGAATAAATAAGCGTTTATTTTTAGAAAACATTTTGTGGTACAATTTCGATTTTACACTTGTAACATGCTCTTTAATTTAGTACGTTAATTGAAGAAGTTAACACGATTTGCTTAAACGTCAACAGATCATGCTTTTTTTTATTAAAGCAAGCAAACAAGAAACTCTGTTTCGAAATGACTAATTACTTGCATTCAACTAGAGGGTGTGAGATGATACATTAAAAAAACAAAGTAATTTATGTTAATACAAAGGAATATTTTATTGAAGACAGTTCTATTTCGTTATTACATACTGTAGAGGATTTTGTAAGGGAATACCTCGCCGAATAGCATATTACACACATCATTTATATTTTTTAGTTTTAGAATTTAATTTCTTTCTCTGAACCGTCGAAAGTAGGATTGTGCTTACAAAAAAAAAACACTGCAATGTAAATAAAATGATATTTAAAGCTTTTGATTATTATACTTTTATAAAAGTGTCAACAATCATTATTGAATGTATAGCACGTTTATTTAATGTATAAAATATAACTATGACTATAATTTAAAACCCTATTTTAGGAAATTAACATAATTTGCCTAAATGTTAAACTTAAAACAAGCATCGTTGAACTTTTTAGTTAGAAACACCGTTTTCTAAGTTCCAAAGCGACAAATTGCTGGATTTCATCTAGAGACATACATGGTGGTTCATAAAAAATAAATAATAAATGGAAGTAAAAAAAATAATTGTTGAAGATATTTTGCAGAACCTTATTACATACCTAATATCAAATTATTATTGTTATTTAAAACTCTATATGAGGAACTTAATTCTAATTACCTAAACGTTAAACCCACTACAACCAATACTGAGCTTTTAACTGAAAGCACCGTATCCTAATTTTCAAAACGACTAGTTGTTGACTTTTAACCAAAGCCATACATGGCGGCTCATAAAAAAATTATTAAACAGTAATAAAAATATATTTGTTTAAGAGATTTTGTGGAATAATTTTTTATTGCATATCTGTTATTCAATGATTATTATTACTTAAAACGTTACATGAAGAACTCAATTCAAATTATTTAAATGCTGAACTCACTAGAATCAGCCTTTTTGACTAGCAACGCCGTGTCCTGATTTTTAAAACGACTAATTGTTGACTTTCAATCAGAGTCATACGTGATGGTAAATAAAGAAATAAATGATAAACAAAAATAAAGAAATATTTGCTGAAGAAATTTTTAAGAACAATTTATTTTTTACACAGCTAATATCTAATTATTATTTAAAACGTTATATGAAGAACCTTATTCAAATTACCGAAATACAATCTCACAAGAATCAGCATTGAGCTTTTTAACTAGCAACGCCGTGTCCTAATTTTAAAAACGACTAATTGTTGACTTTCAACCAGAGCCATAAATGATGGTTCATAAAAAAAATAAGATTATAAGCAGAAATAAGAAATATATTTGTTGAATACATTTTGCTGAACAATATCTCTATTACACGTTTAATATTCGATGATTATTATTATTTAAAACGTTATATGAAGAACTTAATTGAAATTACTTGAAGCTAAACTCACTAAGACCAGCGTTGAGCTTTTTATCTAGAAACGCAGCGTCCTAATTTTCAAAGTGACAAATTATTGGCTTTCTACCAGAGCCATGTCCAGTGGTGGCATGTAAATATTTATTTGCTGAAGACATTTTTCAGTAGAACTAAATAAAGAAAACCATTTGATTATAAATTGGCTGATTTCGGAAATGTCTAATAAGGTTTTACGTATTTCATGTTGAAAACATTCTTATATTACCAGCAAATAAATTATACTAGAACATTTTATTCGTGGTTAAAAATATTTCCCTTCCATATCTCTCTCGAGCATTCATTCTCTAAGGTTCTTAATGCCCTGAAACTCCATTTTGGGAGCATTCACGTTCTTTTCAAAGGAATGAACATGTAACGTTTCATTAATTTTCTTCAACCGTTACTTTAAACTAATGAATGCTATGAATTGTATAGGGTTCGTAATTAGTTACAAAATTCGCATCCTCGCCCATTTTTAACGCTCTTCCTTTGAATTAAGTGTAACAATATATTTTTATTTACATTAGGTACTTTGTATGTTTGAGTCTTATTAATCCAAACTATTTACTCATTACGCATGTTTAAAGCTTTTTCAAATAATTTAAAATATTTAAAGATAGAAATTTAGCTGTATTTAATTACATTTATATAGTTACAGTCGAGAGCTGTTGTAGTTTGAGATCTGATCTTAACATAAGTTAATATTTTCCTTTTTTAAGAAGAGAAGCACTTCCAAATGACATATTCTATATTTTTAACCCTTTGACGCAGAATTTTTCTAAACATATTTTTCATACTTTTTTCATTATTTTGTATTAATTTAGATCAAAATAATTGAAAAAAATATACTTAGCATTTTAATAAGTAAATAATAAAATTATATAATAATAATAATAAAAGTATATTGATTAATATAATTTTATTATTAATTTCATTAATTTATTATTTAATTATTACTTTTTATTATTATTAATAATAATAATAAACGAACCCTTCAGTTATTAAACATCAATTTATCAACCAGAAAAATTGTTCTAAAATATACCAGCTCTTGAGTTCATTCAGTAT